TCTTAAGATTTTAATAAAAGTAAGCCTTTAAACTATGCCCTTGCATTTTCCCTGTAGAATGCTGAGTCTACTGTTAGAGGTGACTCAACAATGAAAATAACATTGCTGCCTATGTTCATTTGCTTACTTTGCCGTAATGAAATGCCACAGACTAGATGACTTAAAAACAAGAGAAACTTACCTTCTCACAGTTCATGAGGCTGGAAAATCGAAGGTCAAGATCCAGCAGGGTTCAGTTTCCGGTGAGGATTGCCTTCCTGGTGTGCAGATAATTTGCCTTCTCTCTCTGTCCTTGTATGTCCTTTCCTCCTTGTGTGTGGAGAGCAAGAGTGAGACCGAAAGCAAGAGGGAGAGAGAGAGAGAGGGAGAGAATGCGCTCTCGTGCTCGAGCTCTTCCTTGTCTTTTCTTAGAAGGACACTAATCTTGTTAGATCAGGGCCCCACCCATATGAACTCATTTAACCTTAATTGATTCCTTAGGGTTCCATCTCCAGATATAGCCACACTGAGGATTAGGGCTTTTCAACACGAGAATATTAGAGGGACACAAACATTGAGTCCATAACACTATATTAGCAACTCTTGCATTTTTAATGGGGTATTAGATTCTTTATGGATCATATGGAAAATTTTTGTTTTGCTCTCTTGAGGTATAGTTGACATACAGCATTATATTTTAAGTGTGTAACATAATTTGATATTTGTATATATTGCAAAAAGATCGCTAGTTAACATCCATCATCATATATAGTTACAACATTTTTTTTCTTGTCATGAGAATTAAGATTTACTATCTTAGCAATTTTCAAATATGCAATATTACTGTATTAACTATAGTCCTCAAGCTATACGTTACATCCCCATGACTTATTTATTTCATAACTAGAAGTTTATACCTTTTAATACCCTTCATCCTTTTTGCCTAACCACCCCCTACCTCTGGCCAACTATCAGTTTATTCTCTATATCTATGAGCTTTATTTTTTCCCCTTTTAGATTCCACATATAAGTGAGGTCATTATGGCATGCATCTTTCTGTTTCCCGTTTCGATCAGATAATGCCTCAGAGTCCATCCATGTTGTCACAAATGTTGAGATCTTGTTCTTTTTAATGGTTGAATAATACTCCATTCTCTGCATACACTACATCTTCTTTATCCATTCATCCATCAGTAGACAGATTGTCTCCATGTCCTGGCTGTTGTAAATAATGCTGTAGTGAATATGGGAGTGCATGTATCTTTCTGAGATAGTGGTTTCGTTTTCTTTGGATAAATACTTAGAAGTGGAATTGCTGGATTATATGTATTTTATTTTTAAGTTTTTGAGAAGCCTCCATTCTGTTTTCTGTAGTGGCTGCACCAGTTTATATTCCATCAGTACAAAGGGTTCCTTTTTCTCTGCATCCTCAACATTTGTTATTTATCTTTTTGATAATAGCCATTCTGATAGGTGTGAAGTGATATCTCATTGTGGTTTTTGATTTGCGTTTCTCTGAGAATCAGTGATGTTGAGCATCATGTGCCTATTTGTTGTATGTATGTCTTTGGAAAAAAATCTCTGTTCAGATCTTCCGCCTGTTTTTTTTTTTTTTTAATATTTTATCTATTTATTTGGAAAACAGAGATCACAAGTAGGCAGAGAGGCAGGCAAGGGGTGGGGGAAGCAGACTCCCCACTGAGCAGAGAGCCCGATACGGGGCTTGATCCCAGGACCCTGAGACCATGACCTGAGTCAAAGGCAGAGGCTTAATCCACTGAGCCACCCAGGGGTCCCTCTTCTACCTATTTTTTAATTGGAGGTTTGGTTTTTCTTGATGACTTGTATGAGTTCATTATATATTTTGGATATTACCCCTTTACTGGATATATGATTTGCAAGAATTTTCTCCTCTATGCTAGGTTGCCTTTTCATTTTGTTGATGGTTTTCTTTGCTGTATACAAACCTTTTAGTTTGTTCTTGTCCTACTTGGTTTGTGTTTTTTGCTTTTGTTTCCCTTGCTTTTGGTGCCGAGCTTGCAATATTATCAATAAATTGAAAGGCTTTTTTTCCCCCCCACTTTTAAGTAGTTCCAGCTTAGTATTGTTCGTTTATCTCTAATCAGACTGTCTGGATTAATATATTAATTGAAGGACACTGGTAATAATATCTAAGTAAATGATACTTTCCAGATTACTTCTGTAAAAGTGAAATTAGATTAGTTTATCAGGCATTCTGACTTGGAAGATTCGTGAAAGTAAATAAATGTGGGTCAGACTTACACCTTTATTTGCAAGAATTTGTTTGGGCTGAAGAGATACGCACCTAAACACAACTGCTGATGTGTGTAAGAAGATATTAAGAATGTAATGAATCAAGAGTCTGTCTGGAATCTTACTGTGAAGCTTTTAAAAAAGGATTTCCTACCCCCACCCCAACCTAATCATGGAAGGAGGAACATCTCTTAAGTAGGAGCTGAGGGGGCTTTGACTGAGACATCTGTCACTTTATTCATTGCCACAATTAATTCAGTTGCTGTGACTGACTACGTAGATGTTTCCTCTTTCAGTTACTGCTCTTGTATTTCCTTTGAGTTAATTTCATTAAGTAGTTCACTTTCCTCCTAGATAGAGATGCAGAATATTCTGTTGAAGCATGCATATACAAATACGTGCACTCTCTCGAGAGACCCCTCATTTGCAGTTGAGACTAGTTGTTTGGAATTGTCAGCTATCAATTGTGGGTGTCCCCGCTGGTTAAGTTTAGAAACCTGCAAAACAATGGAAATCTGGGAAAGGCGAAACTTCAGTACCTTCTCTGATTGAGAAGGAGTAGCAGCCTGTACTGAAGCAACACTAGAAATTGGTGGGGTTTTCCCTCCTGATTTCTCAAGCCACCGTTTTGAGAGACCCTGACTCCTTTTTTTCATAATCAGATTGTATACAGTTTTTAAGAAATTCTAACAGTACATAAGCTTAAATAGGTCATAAATGCAAACTACATGGAAATAATATTTTCTTTGGAATATGAGCTTTCATATTTTTTGCCATTCACACATAACCAAAATAGACAATTAATTTAGCAGCATAGAGAACTGTAGAATATCCAAAAAAGCTATTCTAAATTAAGAGATCAAGTATAACAAAGTTAAAGTTTTCTTAAATAGAAATAATTGTTATAATGCTAATTCATTTAAATATAATAGAATTTATATGATGTACATTTTATTATTTATCCTGGTCAGGAAGTCAGGACAAATACCTTCAGTCTAGCCTAAGCAAAGCAAATACAGCTGATTTTAAAGATGATTAGGGCATGGGACCCTCTCTCTGCCATCCATATCCTCTCCCATTGTTTAGTTTTGCCTTTCTCTCTCTCATACTCATCTTTTGCCTTTTCACTTTTACAGACTTTTATATTTTCTCATATTCTTTACCCTTTTGTGTCTGTGTCTGAAAACATCTACCTTCATTCTTTATGGATTTTTTAGTTCAAGAGCACCATGAATCTAGAATCCCTTCGTACCTAGAGAGACAATTTGTCTCAGTTGTTCCCCTCTCCTCCAGGCAGTTGTGACCAGTGGGTAGTTAAATAGTGGCTTCCCTTTTTACTCAGATCTATGAGATCAGACTCTATTAAACAGAAGGAGGGGTGACTGATTCCATTTGCATCTCAAAAATAAACTTTAGAAATAGCAATAGGTAGTCAAGTGCCTTTTCTTTTGGTAGAAGGGCGTGTACTTAAGTTTCCTAGTCATTCTGGCACTTTCCATTACTTGGATAATTTAATGTTTTCTGTTAATAGTGTCCTAATAGGCTATAACTAAATGCTTTTTTTCTCCCATGTTATTTGTCTCAGTTTTTATCAAAGGACTTACAGAACCGTGACTTTTTGGTAAAATAATGTTCAAATATAATTATCTTAAGTATTTAGGTCTTATGGAGGAAGTGGTATTGCGTAGTACTTAAAAACTGGGACTCCTGAGTCAGAATAATCCTAGCTTGACCACATACATATGACTCTGTCCGCTCTCTGAACTTTTTAATTAACTAGTTAATTAATTTTTTTTAATCTATGAAATAGCAATAACAGTACTTTTTACCTCAAGGATCATTACAAAGATGAAATTATATAGTCCATATAAAAAGCATTAGTGCAATGTCCATCACACAGTAAGTGTTCAGTTAGTGTTGGCTCTTATTATTAATCTTTCTTTTTTCAGTGAAAAGAGCATTAGTCATCTCATTTACACCGCTTATCTGTCCAGTGATCATTGCTTCAACTGCCTAAAAGATTCAGTGTAGGTGTAGGGTATAAATTTAGCTATTTCATCTTAAAAGCTACGTTTTAAAGCTTAATCAGGGTCAAATTGACCTACAGCAAACAATACATGTTAAAATGTACACTTTGATAAGTTTATACTACAATTTATGTATTCATTTACCTATTGACATTTAGGATGTTTCCTGGTTTTTGGCTATTACAAATAAAGCCACTGTGAATATTCACACACAAGTCTTTGTGTGGACAGAGGTTTTTGTTCTCTTAGGTAATTACCTAGTTGTAGAATGACTGGTTCTGATGATAGGTATATGTTTACCTTTTTTAAAAGACTACTAAACTGTTTCCAAAGTGGTTGTCCTGTTTTATGTCCTCACTAGCAGTGTATGTACATTCCCTTCCACATTCTTGTCAGTATTAAATGGCTGATCACAAAGCTATTTTTTAAATATTACTCTTTCATATCCTTCTTTTATGTTTTTTTTTCTTTTATGTTGTTTTAAACTACATATCATTACATAAGAAGGATTATTTGGAAAAAGCACAAAATATGCCAGGTAGCTAGAGATTTTTAACTTAAAATTTAAAAAGTATTTGGAATTATACTTTAATCTCTTTTCTGGGAAGTTAACAGATGGTTTGCTAAAAATACTGGCTAATTGGGGGAGATACACTTCCTTAAGAAGCTAATTTTCTAATAGTGTACCTGTTTTATGTATGTGTTTTTTTCCTTTGGTAGAGTTTTCCAGAAAAGGACCTTCTGCACTGTCCATCTAAGGATGCAATTGAAGCTCATTTTATGTCTTGTGTGAAGGAAGCTGATGCATTAAAGCATAAAAGTCAAGTAATCAATGAAATGCAGAAGAAAGATCATAAACAGCTATGGATGGGATTACAAAATGGTAAATATTGCAGTTTAATTTCTGACTACCACTTTATAAAGTATGAAATAACTATAATCCTGTGAGTAATTTGTACATCTTAGAATTAGTGGTACAAGTTTAAATTCCAGCCTCTACACACAAAATTTTGCAAAGAAGCTACGTTGTAGTATTCCCTTACATTGTACTACATCCTTCTCTTTATGGATTTTCTAGCATAAGAGTTGCTTTGGCCATAACATCAGATGGTATAAACTTCCTGCATTTAGCTTCTGGAGAAAGTGCCCTTATTGCTAGTCATGATCTTTCTAGAATTACAACTGAGTACCTTGTGTACATAATAAAGTACCTCCCCTTAGGTAGGGCACAGACTCCAACACCTGCTTTCTCAGAGTACTAAGACTTGCTTTGTACTTGGATTCTGTCTCTCCTGGCTGGGATTTAGAAAATACATTCAAGGGGAAAGCTGAGAGGAATCTGCAGCTCCCCTCTATATTTTTCATCTTTTAGATCCCAGCTCCTTAATCTTGCCTGCATTGATTGTCTTCCAATGCCTTCAACACATTTGTCTTCCTTACAGGTAGCCATTGTTTTGTATGGGTCCAGTATGCATGAATTTCAGTTAACATGCTGTAGTTAAATAATACCAGGTCCTTAACAGAATGGTTCAAATTTCACTCGGTACTGTGTATTAACTGAAATTGCATAAAGTATAAACTATATTACTAACTCTTTAGTCCATGAGTCATTTAACAACAGATGTGCATCATGATCAAAGACCAGTCACATCACTTCTTTCAGTGTCCTTCAGTGAATCATCATTAGTCATCTGTTATTTAGTTTACCCACAGACAGCAAAGCGTGTAGTTGTGTTGCCTTCTTGTCTCCAGATAAGCCCATATAACATTTTATAAAATTGCATAATTGAGAGAGGTAATTGGCCAAGAAAGATGAAAGTATGGCAAAGAAACAAAAAGTGATAATGCTGATAGCAGCATTTTACTAAAATAGTGGAATTATAGAGGAAACTACTGACTGTGGGAATGTTGACACTACCGCCTTTTGAGAGACTAGATATGCAGCCACAGGAAGTTAGTGAAGGTGAACTTTTCCACATAAATGAGGTAGAGGTTGTGACAAAAAGGGTGAATTTATCCCAGAGAAAGTGATGCTGGCAAAAAACTTAGCATTAAAGGATCTCTGAGAGATATTTCATGACATTAGAAATGCAAACGGTAACATGTTTGGAGATTGATCCAGACTTAGAAAGGAGTATGACAGTTTGGCAAGGTTTAGGAAAGATGCTTCCTTGTAGGCTATGTGTCAAGAAAGCAAGCACTATTCAAACTGTGCTTAAAGTTTTTACAGAGCAGTAAATACAGGGCTTGAATTCTCAGTGTTTCTAATGTTTTAAATTACAGTGTACTAAACACATTAGTTTTATTCATTTTCTTATACATTTATAACTGAGTTTTTAATGTTTGCACAGTTTTTAAAGATCACACATTTGATTATTAAGATCACTTTATGTGGTTTCATGGTCGCTTTTCCGGCCCTGCACTATTGTGTAAAGCAACAACTGCCTATGTTTTATCCATCTTTTATAGTTATTTTTGGATAGAGAATTAGTTCAATATAAGGTAAACTTTCATGGCAATAACTAGGAATAAAATAGAAGACGCACCTTCCCCTCAACCCCTCCCAGAAAAAAACCATAATTTTTAAAAAATGTGATCCATTTTTATCTTTTGGACTATATTGTCACCGTGTCACGGAGGTGTTTGTGATTATTTAGTATTAAAGTTTCGCTATGCAAAACAGGGCATTATCTGAGACTTCAGTAATGCAAAGGTACATATTTTATGACACTCTGTACTCTACATTAAATGTTCTCATTTCTTTTAAGTCTCTTAGATTTGAGTTTCATGGAGTTGGTCTTTAGTTTTATATTTGTGTGTCTAGTATTTCTAAATTAGATTACAAACTCTGCAAAGACAGGCCTTTGCCTCTTTTATCTTACTGAATATACAAATTCCTATTAATTAAAAGAGTTTACAGCCCTTTAAGAAGGTGTACTTTTTCCTTTTTCTTGCTGGCTATTTGAAGATGAACTGAAATTTTAGGAGACTTGTGAATAAGATAACCTAAAAGGAAGAAGGTCAAATCTTATCAAGAAAGCAGGGATATGAGAATAATTTGGCTTCAGAATTGAAGTGAATAATTTTAATTGGTATTTAAATAGGTGTTCTTGAAATCTATAGTGAGTGTGGTGAGTCTGCTCTAGAGAGCTTTGGAATTCAGCAGAGGATTCTAAAAATGCTTGAAATATTTCACTTGGGGTATTGGAGGCTTGGGTGTGGTGGATGGTGGTTAAGAGTGTTTAGGGACACCTGGGTGGCACAGTTGGTTAAGCATTTGACTTGGTTTCAGCTCAGGTCGTGATCTCAGGTTCATTAGATCAAGCCCTGCATCAGTTCCGCTCTCAGTGCAGATCTCCTTGAGATTCTGTCTCCCTCTGCCCCTCTTTCATGCTCTCTGTCTCTCAAATAAATAAATAAATCTTGAGAAAGGGGAAAAAAAAGTTGTTTAGTCTCAGCTCTCCTAGCAGCTCCATAGGGCAACTCACTCAATCCCTTCAAGCTTCAGTTTCTTTATATGTAAAACAAGATACTATCTGCTATGTTCTTTTATAGGTGTCCTGGAGGCTTTAACGCAACACTACTACAGTTTATGTGAAAGTGCACGAAAGGAAGTAAAACTGTTTTGATAAAAAGAATTGTTGAGAAGTCATGTTGGAGACCCTAGAACAGGGGTTGGCAAACTATGATCATGGGCCAGCCACCTTTTTTGTAAATAAATGAATATTTGTTAGAACCCTTCCACACCCATTTATTTGTGTATTGCCTGTGGCTGCTTTCATGCTATAGTAGCAGAGCTAAATAGTTCTAACAGAGACCATGTGGCCCATAGCCTACAATATTTACTCTCTCTGACGCTCTTAGCAAACACTTGGCAGCTCAGAGAAGGTTGACCAGACCAACAGCTCATATTTATCATTGACCTAAAGCACGAGTTGAAATGTCACATTCAGAACTTGGTATAATGACTTAGTCTAAGTATAACTTAATTATTGGACTTGGTCTAATAACTGCATTGCTGTTTTTTGGCCTAATATTCCCTTTTTTCCTGTTTTTGTCTTAGCGCCTATTCTTTCTTGCATATACAACTGTTTTAAAGTTAGCATTGCTAAGTTTAATTTTGTTAAATTAAAAAAATTTATTAAATTACTTTTCAAATTGAGTTTCATTAAATCTGACTTAAAATGGTATGCGGTTAAAATGTACTTTATTCCATTTTTATTTTTAGCTTTACATTTTTTTTCATAGCTGTTATTGTTTGTATTGGTAATGATTGAAGTTACACGCAAAATCTTCTGTGTAGGGTACCCTTTGGGTACTGGAGACCTTGGTAGTTTATTTATTCTGCTTTTAAAAAACTAAAATAGTCATTTAGGAAATTTTTAACTACGTAAATGTTGTTGCTAGAAGATATATTTTGGGGGCGTCTGGGTGGCTAAGTCAGTTAAGTGTCTGCCTTCGGCTCAGGTCATGATCCCAGGGGCCTGGGATTGAGCTTGCTTCTCCCTCTCCCACTGCCTGCTGTTCCCCCTGCTTGTGCTCTCTCTCTTTGTCAAATAAATAAAATCTTTAAAACAAAACAAAATAAAACAAAAACAGAGGCACCTGGGTGGCTCAGTTGGTTAAGCATCTGCCTTTGGCCCAGGTCATGATCCCAGAGTCCAGAATCGAGCCCTGCATTGGGGTCCCTGCTCAGTGGGACTGTGCTTCTCTTCCCCTGGCCCCACAGCTGGTGTGCTCACTCACACACTTTCACACGTGCACACAAAAATAATAAAATCTTTTTAAAAAAGAATATATTTTGGGATAAAAGACTGAAGTTACCTACATTAAAGTAAATTGGTGAAATGTGGGTGTAGTATTCCTTCTGCCTAAAATGCCCTTTCCATCTTTTTGTCTAATTCCTACTTATGTTTTAATGTGCATCTCCGTTGTCATCTGCTATGTGAAGCTTTCTTTTTAAATTTTTTTTAGGCAACAAATATTTATAGGACATCTAACATGAGCCTTGACATTCTGCTAGGAGTTCGTGATCAGCAGTGATAAAACAGACATGCACTCTGTGATGGAGCTTATGGTGGCATGGAGGCAGAGTTACCTGTATTTTCATGCTGTCATGCCACCTTGTCCATTTATATGCATTTTTGCTCTCATATTTTACCACACTCTGGTATAGTTATGGTTTATGTAATTCTATTAGAATATAAATTTCTCCTGGTTAGAGTGTAGTATACATTTTTGAATCCCTAGCACCAAGTCTAGTCTTAGGCATAGAGCAGATAAAACAAATACTAACTGAATGACTATTTTATTCCTTTTTAATACTGTAAGGAAATAAGGTTAACAGCCTTTTATAAGTAGTTTAATACTACTTATTAAAGTAATAGAGGAACTGTTTTGTTTGAATTTATTTATGGAAATCCAAAGGAAGGTCTTAATTAATTTGTGAATGCAAAGATACTTCACCTTTTGGTTTGTCTAATTGTAAATTGGTCAGAGTTGAGGCATAGCAGATGGTAAATGTATTTCATTCAGAACTGCACCTGTAGATCGTAACAACTAAACAACAATTTAAACAGTTTTTGAATACTTTCAAATGCTAATTTTAATTTTTCAGATCTGTGTGAAAGAGAAATAAGAAAAACTTTTGGAAACCAAGAAAACTCATTTAAGACATACTGAGCCTTTCAGTGTTTTTTATGGGTTTTCATTTTAGATATAAAAGTATTTAAGCTCCCTGTGAAACCAAGTTAATGACCACAAAAAAGAAAAGAAAGTAACATTTTTATCATTTATGAGGCTGTTACCACTACACGTGCAGGCTCTTTTCTATTAAATGTCAATAGGCTGTTTTTCTTATAAGCAAGAGATTTAAAGAAATCT